ATGGTTGCTATGATGAAGCTAGATGATGGTGATGATGATGATGGTTGCTGTGATGAAGAAGATGATGATGATGATAATGGTCGTGGTGATGAAGATGATGGTGGTGATGATTATAAAGAAATGTAAGTGTGATAATTCGTGTGATGATGGTGAAAGTGATGACGATATTGATGATAATCATTATAATGATGATGATAAAATGATAGTGATGAAAAATGATGATTTAGAAACTGAAAGTTGATGTAATCCTTTTTGTTCTTTTTTCCTGATCCTCCTCCTCGTTTTCCCCCTTTTCCTTTTTCCCTTCTTCTACTTGTTCTCCTCCTTCTCCTTCTTCTTCTTCTTCTTCGTTTAAGGGCCTCGTATGCATTTCAGAAGAATGTGAGATCATAGAGACCATACGACATTACCTCACGTATTGTTTTAGAGCTCCATTACGCAATACCAATTTTGTCGAGACAACCGTCTCAAGTGTTTCTCAAACACTGTCTCGATTGGATCCTTTGCTCGATCGATGCATGAACTATTTGTTTTTTGCTCCGTGTAACCCCCCCCCCCCCATCTCACCATTCCAACTCCCTTGCAAACACTAACATGTGTGTTAACCATGTAATCGAAGTCAATGTTTTCAATTAATAACAATCCTCCAAACTTGCCCATCTATTGGAAAGGCGACCTTGAATGGTTAGAAAGGCATGGACACATTCCGCCCCCTTTCGGATCGTTCAAGGGGCCGTCATAGTTTGAAAAGATGAAAATGTATGTGTCCCATAAAATATGAGGAATTATTTTTCATGTTTTTTTTGGTTCAGTTTCGAGGGGGGGGGGGGGTCTTTCCGTTTAGTTCAATTGATATTTATTATTATTATTATTATTATTATTATTATTATTATCATTATTGTTATTATTATTATTATTTTTTTTTTTTGGGGGGGGGGGGAGGGGTCTGGTTTGTTTTTGTGGTTTTGTTTTTTGCATGTCAGAAAAATTGTCTTACTTGTGTCCGACTGGAGCAGTGTAACGTTGTTTTCGAAATCATTTTAATAGGTAGAAGAGTGGAAGACAGGCGGTGAAAAATTCGTTTTGTGCAGACACATTTCTCAAAATTGTAAATTTGCATCGATCTGTTTGATATCGAAGTAACACTCCCCACCCACCTCTGTTCTCAAGCAGTATAATTTAGTGTGGAATGAAATCATGTTTTTCCTACGTCATCAATTAAGACGACTTAATACATGTACGTACATGTTGTTGCCTGTTGGTGACAAATGGCAGGACTGATTGTAATCAAAATTATCAAAATTATCTTACCAATTGATATTTCTCGAGGCAGTGATGTCAGTATAGAGCCATGGGGGCGCGCATCCCCCCCCAAAAAAAAACCGTCAACAAATGAAAAACCAAAGGATAAGAGAGAGAAAGGGAAAGTTATAAGAAAAGATGATAGGTACCCTCTCATAGTCTCCTGTAATCATTGGCCATGTTAATTCGCATTTAGTCCGTCAAGTACTTTGAGACCGGTCCGCCGCGCCGCCTCACCCCTCCTTCTATTCCTTCTCTAGGATAAAATGCCCCTCAATGACTGGATCCATGCCACACCCCTTTGTACCCTTTGTACAAGCCCACATGTTATATGACTATATGGACTTATTGCCTGGATTGATCAGATTTCCTGTTTTTCTCTCATAATAATGAAATGTTTGATGTGCTCGCAATAGTCGATCTGGAAAATGTATTTTTATCATTTTATCATGGGATAGTGTTTGATGTTGGATCACAAGTTAATTATACTTTTACGTTTTCTCGCCTCGAATTAATTTTAAACATAGTTTACAAAAAAATCCAATCAATTTCCAATTTCAAGAAATTATTTGTTCTTAATCTGCCGCATCAATAAATTGTCTGATTCAGTAGCTTATTTTTATGGGGCTATAAATTGGGATTTCTGAAATATAAGGTTTAAGAAAAAAACAGTAACAACGACAAAGCCCACACAAATCTTACCAGGATAGTCACTCGGCGGTGAAAATATGGGAAAATATTCCGTCACCTTTCGCCTTTTATTTTGTGTACCTATTATGTAGGCCTTACGATTGATACCAAGACGGGAGGAGGAAGGATATTATGTTTACTAAACTCTCTCTCTCTCTCTCTCTCTCTGAAGATTCATGAGAGAGAGAGAGAGAGAGAGAGATATATAAAGATAGAGAGAGAGATATATATATATAGAGAGAGGATAGAGATAGAAAGAGATATAGAGAGTCAGACAGACAGAGCCACAGAGAGAGTTAAGAGAGAGAGAGAGAGAGATATATATACAGAGAGAGATATATAAAGATAGAGAGAGAGAGATATATATATATAAAGAGAGGGGGATAGAGATAGAAAGAGATATAGAGAGTCAGACAGACAGAGCCACAGAGAGAGTTAAGAGAGAGAGAGAGAGAGAGAGAGAGAGATACAGAGAGAGATATATAGAGATAGAGAGATATATATATATATATATAGAGAGAGGGATAGAGATAGAAAGAAATATAGAGAGTCAGACAGACAGAGCCACAGAGAGAGTTAAGAGAGAGAGAGAGAGAGAGAGAGAGAGAGATAGAGAGATACAGTCTGACATACAGAGTCAAAGAGCTGGAGGGGTGCGCTAGCGTACAAAAACAGACTTTACTCTTTTTTTTAAAAATAGATATGAGCACATAACCCAAGAAAGATTATAAGCCTGAGTAATGCAGACAAGAAGAAACATTAATGTTTCGGAGTCGTGTGATTATACAAGTTTCAGTCTGCCACGTATGGGGTAGTTGTAAACAATTCCATCAACATTCCGGCTAATTTGCGGCATGATATGTCATTGTAACACCAGGTTTGAGGCTGTTTGCCTCGTATATTAACACGATACTAATGATAAACAGAACACATTGCCCGTGGTCGTATATTGATTGAATAGGATACACTGAAGTGAAATGTTGAACAGAAGGTAATTAAAATCAGTTCATGGTGGAACATGAAGTTTAGAAATGGTTAAGCGAGACTGGAAAAGGGTAAGCCACATGAAGGGAGGCTAGTAAGAGGAGAGGGAGAGAGAGAGAGAGAGAGAGAGAGAGAGAGAGAGAAATATCTCTTAGTGATATCCTATTTCAAACATTCATAACTCACATATTATTGGTCCAATATATCTCAAACATGGGCCATTCTGTTTCTCTAGTTTGTCTGCTTTCATACAAATGAATATATTACAAAGGTTACTTGGAAAAACCAGGAAAAATTAGTGAAATATCAGTGAAATCCAATGAAAAATAGGAAAGCTATAAATTAATAAAATTATAATCAATCAAACAAATTGGGTAACTGTGTGGAGTATATCTGGAAGTCCTGCCCCATTTGCTTCACAGAAAATTTCATAAATTTCTATTTTCTAAGTTTTTAATAAAGGAATATAGTTTTCCATACAGTGGTTGTGTATAAACATCTATCTAATTAATCTATATCTTGGGGGCATATTTGATTATATATTTGTTTTTAGATAAAATGGAAATGTACAATTTATTCAGTACAGAGCTTGAATGATGCGCGACAGAGTTGCTTATTTATTTTTAATCCATACAATTATAAATCAATTTCACTAAACTGTTCCTCGCCCTATTTTCTTTTATCAAAACTTCACATCAAGGTAAACCTTTAGTGCCTACACATGCATTTTTGTTTTACTAGTTTTCATATCCACATATCTGATGCTAGTTAAAACTAATAAGATGATATAAAATATAATTCTCTTCAGGATTGCCTTGCAATTCATCAGATATGAAATGCTAAAGCGCCGTAATGGCAGCACATCTAAAGCCAGGGTAATAATCTCCAAGTTTGGAAGCGCTTAGTGATTGTATAAGTGCTATATAAAAACTCAGTATTATTATTATCATTATATAATTATTTCCAGAGAAATTTGACTATTATAAGTTGTTGTGGCTATGAGAAAACAATCAATTCAAATTGTTTGTGATATCAAGGTACTCAATAAACACAATATGAGTTTCTTACACATACGTATATGTTTCTTTCAAAAAAGTTGTGGACTCCTCCCCCCCCCCCCAACCCTCTTAATTCTATAACACAGTAAACAATGATCATTGGGGCTGCATCTTCACAATGAATGCTTGGTGAAGTTTTTTCACTTTGATTTAAACAAAGCACATTTGGAGGTTGTTGGTCCCTTTAAAGATGCACAATTATGGGTTCTCTGGGGGATTTGACACTTTTTGGGTCATTGATTGTCAAGGGTGGTATCAGTCACCACGAGTACACTTCCCCATTTACGACCAGCAGGTTGTATGTAATAAACGCAGCCTCCAATTCAGAGTTGTTATTCAATAGAAGAAAAGCTTTAAGAAGAAGATAAAGTGGAGTTTATGATTTATTTGCCTTTAATTTTGTCACAGAAATCAGAATACAAACTCAATCACTTTTTTAAAGAAATTTTATTCTAAATTCATAATATCGATCATTAGCTGGGATCACATCTTGTTCTTCAAAGAATTCTGTAAAACTGTCATTTTCCATGCCTCAGAGGGAATCCTAGGGTATGTGAGAGCATCTTGGTATATTGGTTCATTCACTCAACTCTCAATTGAAAAGTTGAGGGTTGAGTCACTGCCCAGTTCTCATGTAGTTAGGCAAGGCATTTTATCTGCAGTTGTCTCTCTCTCTCTCTCTCCACCCATGTTTTCAATGGGCACCTGTCATGGTGTAATCATTGAAATGCAGTGTTCTAAGAACGGTTGCTTAAAGATAAAGTTGAGTTCTGGTCATGCGATTGCATTGTGAAAGAAACGGTGTGGAATCGATCAAAAAGGTTGATCATCTACCATATACGTATTGGTGTGTACTGCAAGGTTCTGGAATCATCAAAATAATAAGAAATTTGGCCTAGTATTGGTAAAGTTGCAAGCACTGTACACAGAAAGATGTATGTGAGACTACACGAACATGTGGGAACATGTCTTATCTGATGTTCTTCCACACTTTCATAATAACAATGATAACTCTCACAAATTATTTTTCACCTCTTCCCAGAACTCAACCTTCTCTTTAAGTGCTAGGGAAATCAATAATATTCAAACACAGTTCGGTAGAACATATGGATTTTATACCTTTATGCGATATGCTCTCTAAAAAGAAAAAAGAAAGAAAAGGAAAATACAGTTTATAATTTGCATGGGCCTCCTCAAAAACGAGATGATATTCCTGAAACCTTGCACCATTGCAAGATCTTTAATGTTCAGACTAATCCAGGTTTGTTGTCCGTCCCGTCACCGGTGCTCTCCATACCATTTATAGTCACATGGTCCAAGGAACTTGGACATGCCCAGATAGTTGCCCTTGGCGATGCGCTCAAACGTCCACGGATTGATGTTCTCCTGATGCCTGAACTGGTAGAGATCTGCATCCCTCTCCATGATCTCCTTAGATACCACCTTGCAACGGAACGGGAGCTTCTTAGAGATCTGGTAGAGGATACTATGAATCTCCTCAAACTCCATCTTACCGCCCATCTCCATCACGATACGACCCGCCTTCACCGGCGTCACGTAGTGGTGAACGCTGCCTGGACACAACAGAGGATGATCAATATTATAACTAGGATAATCATAAATCTGAAATTATAATTTTAATGAAAATATGAATAATAATAATAATAATAATAATAATAATAATAATTCTACATTTATATTGCGCACAACTCTGCTGACATAATGGCACCCTTGTCGCACAGATCAACCAATCAAATACATTACAAGAATATGGTCATTACTCAAAATTCAACAAATTATGTTACAACATAAATAGGCGACAAATGGTCAACGAATGAAGAAGAAAAAAGAAGAAGATGACAGATAGAAGAGGAAGAATAAGAAGGAAAAGAAGAACTTCAGAGAAGAAGTAGAAGAGGAAGAAGAAGAAGGAAAAAAAGAACTTTAGAGAAGAAGTAGAATTGGAAGAAGAGATGATGACGAAAAACAAGAAGAATAAGGAGGATTTATTTTTGTTTGGTTGTGAGAGAATTATGAAGTAAAAACAGATCAAGAAGCTCCCTCATTTTACAACAATCCTGGATGTTTGCTTGCACTGTACAGTCCTTGTTCTCTTCTCTTGGATACAACAGGAAAAAATCTCACACTTTTCCTCAGGCAATACATGTCTTTATTTCCCCTTCTTCCCAGGTACCTATAGTATTCAACATTTAAAAATACTGTTTATACACATCATAATGGTAAAACAAAATATCTACCTCTTTATTTGATTAACGATAGAAGCCCCAAGCGCTTCTTGAGTAAGGTCTGCATTTACCCAGTGTTTCAAAACAATTTGTATTGAATTTGTCTTTTTGAGGACCATTTACATGGAAATCCTGGGGATGCAGTCTTCAGAGTATTGTACATGGATAAGATTGAAATGGGAAAATTGAAATGAACTAAAACGTCGATCTAGCGCTGCTCAGTTGCTGCCGGGCTCACGATCAATTGGGCAAAAGACTTTCCATTTTCGGTTTAACCTAATAAAATTTGGAGTGGACTTTAAAAGATTATTTTTATAATTATATTACATACAACACTCCATTTCATAAGAAAATTCATTTTGTGCAGCGATAATTGAATTATTTTTGTTAGATAAAGCCGTAGGGATATAGGAAGACTGGCCTTGATTTAAAAAAAAAAAAAATGTGGGTAACACTTTTATTTCTGCTCAACTTGGTATCTTTAGTTTTAAATGGGGTTCATGAATTCCACAGGAACAAGATAAGATTTTTCATAAATATGAAAGGATTGAAAGCAATCTTGGTTCCTTGTTCTGGGATAAATGCTTTTACTCAACATAACATTAATTTCTGCATTGGGGAACATACATGTTAAAATAGCGCATAGTGTAGCTTTCCTTAATCAAGGATAATTGAAATCTTGGGGGACATGTGCCTAAATACATTTTTACATGAAAAAAGTGTTATTCCTAAGAGAGATTTTAGATTTTCCTTTAAAATACAGGCTATAGAACATTTAACTTAATCAGAAAATGTATGTCGTGCAGCAGAAAAGTCTAACTCCCTTTGGGTGGTTTTAACTTTAGGCATATTAACAATTATGCCTCATATTCTTTAGCTCTTACTATGGACGGGAAGACCTGCCCCGAAACCCACATGATAGCTTTCTTCTTGTACAGAAATCTGTATAGTGAAGTTTATTTCCTTGAAAGATAAAGCCAAAGTTGATAATAAAACAAAGAATAAAAAATCACAATTGGGCTCCAATAACTGTTTTAAAGGGGTTTAGTATTGTGGTGGGCCAGTTAATGAGTTGGAGACGACAAGTTCAAATATAAATAAGAACACAAGAAGCTCGGAATTACAGTTGGAGTCCACTTTATTAATTATATAAGTCAGCCATCCTCCAATCGTTACAAACGAAGAGTAATTATTTTATAAACATTTTAAATACAAACTGCTTCTCTCGGAGGCTGGGCAGCCCTCTCGACAGTAAACTTGCAGCACAACCTAAACATGTTAACGGAATGAAATAAACTCTCAAATAATATGACTACAAAACCCTGCACATGGCATTTAAATACTGCGGCACCCAAAGAGGCTTTATCACCAGCCAACCAGAAGGACCCAAGAAGACAACCAATTACAAGATGGGATATATATAATTACCCTTAGGTCATCCGACCAATTAGAGAGGACTTATACCTTTAATTAATTATAATCAATGACAAAGTGTAATAGATGAGAGTGATTTGAACTAGTCACCGACAAAAATGGGAGGAATCTATATCTTCGCGAGAATGTAGCGTCCCCGGAAAAACAGTCTATTGTCTAACGTGTTATCGGAAATGAACACCTGTACATGTACATCTTAAAGATGAAGTTGAGTTGTGGCCATGCGATTGCATTATGAAAGAAACGGTGTGGAACCGACCAGAAAAGGTTGATCATCTAGCATATAAGAATGTGTGTGTATTGCAAGGTTCTGGAATCATCAAAATGATAAGAAGTTTGGCCAAGTCTTGGTAAAGTTACAAACACTTGCACAGAAAGATGTATATGGGACTACACAAACACGTGGCGTAAAAAGCCGGCCCCCCGATTTTTACGATATGACATGCATATTTAGAATATGAAGGCATTTGAAGAGCCATGCTTTTCAGGGAACATGTCTTAACTGATGTTCTTCCACACTTGCATAATAAGAACGAGTAATGCTCACAAATTATTTTTCACCTCTTCCCAGAACTCAACCTTCTCTTTAAGGCAAGAATTCATTTCCAACGTGCTTATCGAAATGAACACTTTAATCTAATGCAAGAATTCAAAACCAAGGGTTGTTTACCCGTTCCCGGCATACTATTGGAAACATAATTAATGCTATTTAACTTTTAGGTGTATACAATTAATAAACCCAGCCGACTCTTCTATGGCTCTAGCGCCCCCTTTAGATCAACTGAGTTGCCCAAATGAGCGTACCACTACAGTATAACCCCAAACATGACCTACACACTGACTAAGACTGATACAGTTTCTAACTCAACGATTGTCAGATCTCGAGGTTTGAAACAATCGACCCATTAACACACAACCCAAATAAAAGACTCCTTGAAGTTTGAAACTACATTAACAAGCTGGAAAAGCAATCGGAACTACAGGCTGGCAAAAACCTTGAAATTGGTTGAGTTCGCCACAGCAGGTGACTGAGAGTGAGGACCCCCCCCCCCCCCCCCCCCCCTCCTCCCCCTTGCTGGGTGCTGCTCGCAGTCTTCATAATTACTTTTGGTTTGAACCTGCCAGTAAGCTTAGAATTTTACAAATGAATGCATACTCAAAGTGCTTTTAAGACAACCTCAAAATTAAAACCATGAGTGAAACAAGAGAGTTTACAAACTCTCTTGTGAGAACCTAGTTAATGTCATATGTGGAAAATAGCTATAATCTCTGTCACATACCTTTGCCTCCACCCATCCTCTGTCCTTGACCTTTTCTAGTGACCGGTTTGAAAGGTGCATTGACCCTCCACCGACCAAACATGTGGTCACTATCTCCAATGAAGCGATTGATGGTCAGACGGATCATCTCAAAATGACCATGCTGCATGTAACCTGGTGTAGTAGCCTGGTAAAAGAATGAAAGAATGGAAAGTGTTAATATTTTGACTTCATATTAAACTACTTAACACTAAATTAAATGTAGGACTTTACACAACTTCATATCGTATATCAACCAGCACACAGATGAACATATTAATCAGGGCCCATATTAATAAACCATTACTAGGCTAGTTGTCAACTAATAAAGGCTTTAGTACATAGGTGGTTGAAAACTAGGAATAGTAAGGTTTCATGTATACAAGTTCTAGAACTATAGAATTTATATCTGTAATTCTGTACTATACTACACACAAAAAAGTTCACAGACCTTACGCGTACCAATGCCGTTGAAAATAGGGGCCTCACAATAAGGGACCTGGCTCCCATCCCCTTTGCATCAGGATCATAGGATTTATTGGAACAGTAGGGCAATCTAGGGGTACTGCTCCTAAATCCCCTGCAGGGGCAGGTATCCCATTCAAACACATTTAGGTCTTCTTCACATAACAATGTTTGACAGATTCCTTACCAACATTGTGGTATGAAATCATATCTACACTTCATGATTATCAATATATGAAATAAAGAATGTTAACTGACCAGTAAGCCATATTGGTTATAGATGAGAGTGTTTGCTACTTCAGAAGGGCCTCTGATGTCATGTAAGCTTTTGAAAACTTTCCTGTATCGAGTCTTCTTTGGAACTTTATTCAGGAACTTGAGCTTGGGCTTGGGTGGGATTCGGACATCTGCAGAAAAAAAATCAATTACATCGAACTCAAGATCAACATCTTGTTACTTAATGTTTTATGCAACATGTACACCTCGTCATGTTCATACAATGATGATACTTGTATATAAAAATTTCAAATGCAAAATTAATGTAGACACTTAGTATACAGTTAGATAATAGTTTCCCCTCATATACAGTTCATAGGGGGACATAAATATTACAAAAATATGTAACATTCAAAGTTTTAACTTTTTAAATACAAAAATAAAAATAAAATAAAATAACCCTATCAAATCTTTGATTTATTTTAAATTATAAATAAAACCCCAACCTTATTTGAGTGTTCTAATGTGCTCTAGATAATGAAACGCCAAATATCAATACTACATGGAAAGAGTTTTAAAAACTCTTGCCAAGTCCTACTCATCCTCAATTATACAATGAGTAAATGCTACTTTCTCATAATATTACAAGAGCTAGTTTAAAATTTTAATGCAAATTCAATATCATGCAATTATTAAGCAAGTATAATAACATCTAAAATAGTCTCTCAGTAACTGTGTTAACTTATTATGGGCATTCCCAAATCAAGCTATGCTTTTGGGTTTTCGCCTCCTTCGGTTATCTGAATAATTTACTGTATACTCTATGTTGAAAACTTGAAATCATTGTTACATGTACATACATAATTTATATATACATTGTGTTTCATTGAGAAGGAAATAAATGTTAATAAATACAACAACAACAAAAATAATGGAAATGTAAATCACCCCTCCTCAGACGACTCACTGCTGCCTTCGGGTAATTTATGATGCAAGGAGTAGATTTATCAAGTCAGCAAACCAATTTTCCTTCGGGGAAAAGGAAAGTTCCCAAATGTTATAGAAAAAGACTAGGCTAAATAGAGAACTTGGTAATCAATGGGTATGATATCTGATCATGCCGATATGATTTATACAATTTGTGTAAATTATTGTATTTTCCATATATATTGTGAGTGTTTCAGAGACTGGTGCTAGAAAGAAACATATATGACTTGTGTTTTGTACTCACCATCAAATGTGTTGAATGGCTCAAAATTTTTCATTGTTGCAACTTGCAAATACACTGGGCAGGGAGGTCCACCTGAACAAAATGAAATATGAATAGACCTATGATTATGATAATGAAATGAAAATATCATGTGTAGTCTACACACCCACCACAAAAATGTTAGAAATTCATGTGAAGGGGTTATCAATATCAGATTGTCCTAAAGTTAGCACCAATGATACACATCCTGTTCTTTGTATCAATGCAAAGCCCTCGGTTTTTTAAAGTTATGAGATTGAAATGCAACCAACATTTCAACTAAATCTAAAATCTGAATTAGGCATTACTGAATGTTAAAACTAGATTTAACTGAAAGCAATTAACAAAGCCAAACCCATTCATCTCCCGACTCGAGAACTGTCATAAAAAAAAAGAAATTTAGCTTGGGGATTTCTTCTACGCTAATCCGTTCGTAAGAGCCTTGAATTTCATGGTCACTAATGACGTTCAGAATTAGACAGGCCCGATGGAATGGGCATGTCATTGACTGTAAAGGCATGCTGAATAAACTCAGTGAGCCCCCCCCCCCCCTTCCAGGAAAAATCCATCCAAAAACTACTTTTCTTGTGACTCAATCAGAGCCTCCTCTCAACTCATTCTTCCTTTTTACCTGCCTATTTTAAGTCCTGCCACCTATCCCATAAATAATAATAACGGCTAAGGAATTATGTATTTGAATCCTAGAATAGAATACTTTTACTTAAATTTAACTTTATTTCCTAATGAGTAATGATTTCAGTCTACTGTAAAAGCGACTAGAACAAGATAATATATTCCTCTTGCAGCGCTCAAAACTCAATCCCAATCTTTACTGTATGTACATGTATATCTCTCTGTGTACAATGCATGACACGTTTTTCCATCTTATTTTCATAATTGGGAGTATAGACTGATATCCAGTCATTTTTACTGAAATATCTTTTAAAAACACTTCTCATACAGTAATCGTACATGATTTACTGCAATCTGAGCTCGACACCGTGTCTAGTACTGTGAGAATAAGGGAGTAGGTGTGAGATTACGCTACCTGCTGCTGTCGCGTGTTCTTGTTTGCAACTCATTAATATTCATATTTTGATGGCGCCACTGAAATTTTTTAATAAAGTCTTGGCTTGAAAATGACGTCATCTTTCAATTTTCCCTCTCATTTTGAGATGGCTGTAGCTATTGGGCTTAAACCAACACAAGATTGACATAAAAAAGTCTTCTATCTAATCTATATACTAAATTCCATCTCACAAAAATCTGAATTTAAAAAGATAATTAAGATATCATCTTTTTTGGTTATATTTTCTAGTAGTAAGTGACATTTTTTGATATCCGTGGAATTTAAATGTCATTTTTTTTCCAGGATCACAAGCAATTTAGGCTAGGTGTGCATCTCAATACAAACATATACCAATTTTGCATGATCACGCAATGCACGTAGACTGCATAGGGATGCGTGCCATCTCTATGCGAAGGATTTTAACACACAATATCGAGGGCGCGATCAGACACCCTACTAAATATCTCTTTTTTAAAGACTTCTAGAGTCGGGAGATGGAGAGTTGGCTTAGAGTAGGGTGTCTGAACGATTTTTCAATTTTCAATTTGGGATCGTTTTTCACCATTTTTGTTTGATATTTGAATTAAAAATGTAATCAGAATAATACATTTCAAATTTCAAGTCTCGCCGATGTTTCTATCAAAAGATACAGCCCCTTCAAAACGCTGAAATATTCATAGCATTTTGCTCAGAATCGAAGAAAAAGACGTACACGCAGAGTTATGTTGTTTTGCTAAATTTAGCCAAACAGCTGTATCGCGCGATATGCAAGCGTATGCATATCGTACGCAAGTTGCTCAGCCAATGCGCGACTTGCAAGCTTGAGCCACGCTGTCTCCGCGATGTGTGCCATTGACTAGTATGGGTTACCGTTCCCGCCATAGAACCCGGAAGTGAATACACGTTGTAGTCAATGGCAATATCGCGGAGACAAACTCTCCGCGATATTGCCATTGACTACAACGTGTATTCACTTCCGGGTTCTATGGCGGGAACGGCCACCCATACTTTCATTCACTATAAGCGCACATGTTACGCGATGTAACCATGGTTTGGACTGAGCGGAGCTCACGCCTCCCTAATTAGCTGATTCCAAAAATGTGGGAAGGGTATTTTCAAACTGTTATAACAAATGATCCCTTGGGGCTAGCGAAAGAAAAAGCATCTGGATATTATCCTTACGTCTAGCCCTGCTTAAGCCGCGGGGCGGCAGCTCAGGAAAGTGGCAAAGTTTGGAGCTAGGATGCAAACAACATTTCAATCGCTGTTTTGACCAAGATATTTTTAGAATTCTGGGGGTGGCCCCCGATGGGGAATATGGAGAAAAACCTGCTCTTTCACATGACACCTCATTTATTGAGTTTCACCTTCAGGATCATTTGTTATAAAGGTTTGAATTTCAAATTTTTTCATAAAATCATTGACCAATTTTGGATGGTCGCGCAATGCACGTAGACCACATAGGGAAGCGTACAATCTCTATGGGAAGGGTTTTAGCACACAACATTGGGTGCGCGATCAGACACCCTACTTAGAGTCTAGTTATGATAATATAATGGCTTTCTATTCTATAAAACCTAGTCTTAACACACAGAAATGCCTAATTAAGATGTTGGTATTGGCCTCCCTAACTTTAGTGACAATTGATGATGACACCTAAATAGCAGTAAAAATTCTTTGAAAATTCAAAATCGTAAGTCTACTGACTATGCTGACCAACTGTCAAACTTGACGATCAGCAACTTTGTATTCATTGATTGTGTGCATTAATTTAGTGTGTAATTGATGCCTCTCAGCACGTATACAGTGCTAGAGGTCAATATGCATTAGCATTGACTACTATGTCTATGCTTTGCTGGAGTGACTAGGCCCTAGGCCTGGCGCTTGTTCAGAAACCTATCCAAAATTTGACCCGTAACTCCGGCAAGGAGATACCCTAGTAGTAGTTACTAAAACATCCCCAAAATGAAGTAAATATTCATTAAATGTCGAAATAAAGATCATAAGTTAAAAGTCGTTATGTTTATTACCTGTTTCGTGTCATTTTTCATGTTATTTTTGGAGTATTTTTCAGATAGATCTAGACCTCTAGGCCTAGATCTAGGTCTAAACAATGATAGTAGTATACACTTTTTCACAGGTTTCATGGCAAACCACTGCACAATACAAGTGCATACTGATGGTGGGAAACCTGTGCATGTGAAAAAGTGTATACCGGTAGATCTACTAATAATCAACGTTTATCCAAAAATAGTCTACTCCAAAATTAACAAGAAAATTGACACGAAACAGGTAATAGGGTCTAAACATAACAACTTTTAACTCATGATCTTTATTTGGACATTTAATGAATATTTACTTCATTTTGGGGATGTTATAGTAGGGTATCTCCACGCGGAGTTACGGGTCAAATTTTGGATAGGCTTCTGAACAAGCGCCCTACTAATGCATTGTCATTGACTACATTTACAAAGACACATTATCAAATATGCGGGACTACGGTTGAACTAATGATTTTATAAAGCGGAGTTAAACCTTGATTTCTCATTGAAAGAACGTAATATATTCAATCCAACCATACCATTACTTCGTGGAACATATTTTACAGCTGACTGTGTGATAAGACACCTCCTGATGACAGAAAACATGATTTGTTGGGGTGTATATTCTGTTTCTAAACTTCTTTTTGACCACCACTTTGTCTGAATTTTGCGACCAATATCACAATGCCAGGGGGTGATGGTGTCTTAAAAAAAAAAAAAATATATATGAATAAGGGTTGGTCGGACCCCGGGTCGGACCGCATTTGATTGATAGAATTGAAGCGAATGAGGGCAAGAAAAGGACACTTCGCTGTATTGTAAATTTCATTTCGATATAAATGAAAAAATCATGACGATCTGCCTGGAACTATTACGTTTCTAAATTTAGCAAACGAGTGAGAAAAAATACACTGTACTATCTCTGAAATGCCATTCCTTAATCAAAATACCCAGCGAGATCTCTATAGTTGACGTTATATTCCAATATATATTTTTGATATAAATCTCTCGGGGCACACCGGTTGAAATACGATGTACTATATGGTCAAAATTTGAGGGAGCAGATGAGCCAGGCCGGGAGGGTAAAAACTCCTTGCCATTCAGAATAAGAACATTTACTTTAGTGAATCGGACACACATACATTACGTTCTCTGTCTCTTTTCCTGTATGTCTTCTATCTATCTCAATGTCTTTATTTTCTCTGCTGTACGCCACATCAAGAACTCAGATCGGATCATTCCAAAACATTTTTCGATAGTCATTTAATGCGCACCTCTTGCCATAGATTTCATTTGAAATTTATCATTTATATTGATTTACATATTACAATATAAGAAGAGTGTTTTCTAGAAAACTATCTTTTTAATATTACCTCACGTTCCTTCCCCCTTTCGTTCATCTCTCCCCTCTCTCTCACCTCTTTCTTGCAATTTGATTGGGGGCACGTGCCCCTCCCCCGTAGCTTTACGCCACTGTTTATACCCCTAGCCCCTTTAGAGTGGGACAATTCTGTATTTTAAAGTGAAACGGACACATCTCTCTGTCTCTTTTCCTGTATGTCTCTTCTATCTTTCACTCCTATCTCCATTTCTTTCTTTTTTCTGTTTTGTACAATACATCAAGGACACAGATCGGATCACCTCGAAGCATTTTTCGATAGCCTTTTAATGCACCTCTTATACAACAGATAGCAGTTATCATATGTCATGTTATAATGTTCCCATGTTACTGATTCACATAGAAGTGTAATATTTGAAGAGCATTTTCGAGCAATTTCCTATATTACATCACGTTCGTTTCCTTTAGCTCCCCCACCCCTGCTCTCACCATTTTTCATTTTCCCCTGTTCGATTGAGAGGAGGGCACGTGCCCCCCGTACCTCCTCCATGTTAGCTACGCCATATATTGTTGCTATACACATTATAAATTTGGTTTCACCCAGCGCTTCGGAACGGTCGCATAATAATCATGATACTAACAAGTACAACGCTCTGTACATGGCACATCATTATTATCAACATTATATGATTAAGTATCAGCCTTTTTTTTTTTTATAAATAACTTCTAAAAATATATTGGAATAGAAAACAAAAACATTATCTTTCTCCTACAACCGCTGCCAATAAAAGAGTAATATAGGCTTTCTCTGATCTTTCCTACCCCCTTGTCGCCCTGGTACAATGTTCCAGCCAGGTGCGTACACAGGGGGGGGGGGGGGGGGGGGTATTTTATGTGTGTAACCCCACCCTAAACCCCCCTAACCCCCCCCTTTGGATTTTTTTTTTTTTTTTTAAAATTCCCATGGCTGACCTAAAAAAAGCTGACCTTACCCCCCCCCCCAACGGAGCAAAATGTAAAATTTTCAAATTTCGAGACCGAAAACAAGAAGAAAAAAAGTGTCCTCTTACCCCCACAGTGCAAATTTGTTTAGGGTTGTGCGGTCTACATGTATGTTTTTGTTTTTGCTTACGTTCTACTTTTTTAATTTTTTTTTATTGTTTATTCAAATACCGTACATCATTTTGTATGATTCCTATACTATTCTTTTGTTTCTGGTGGCTGTCCAGACCAACCCTCTAGGGTTTTTATACACCAACCTAATTCCTATTTGTTTTTTTTACTGTCAATATTGTAAATATGTTAAATATATTTATGTAAAAGTAATATTTTGATGTTACTGTTTTTTTACTATGGAATTAAATATTAAAAAAAAAAAAAATAATAATAATAAAAAAAATGTTCTGTTGTTGTTGCTATAGGGGAGGGGGGGGGGTTGAGTTAAAATAAATAATAGAACACCAGCCCTCCCCTCCCGTCGAACCTATAACACAAATATAGTGCTCACCCCCCTTGCTTATTCGGCCGGTCGGCTGAGTCGCCGTTAAATATTTTCTTGGGCCCTCCCTCGCCGCCGGCTGGATCCGCCCTTGAGCCTGACAATAATTGGCCCACGTTTAATACTGAGATTACCCTCCACCATGTCTACCAAACTCCAAGCACCTCCCCCATAACGACGACTTAAAACGTAGGCCTACCTAATAGAAAAGGAATTTAGGTGGCGATAATGGGGGGGGGGGGGGGGGGGGGGGGGCGGGGGGGGGGGTACTTCTTACGGGTGTGTACTATTATCTCGTGTATCCCCCCTGCGTTTTATTCTGTTTATTAAAGCGTTGAATAAGTGCTGACAAAACCACGTAGCCTCGCGGAGAAATTAAAATTAAGAACTAAGTCTTCTGGTCAAAACAGACTACAAAGTGGCGTTTTATGGGCAATAAATAACCAAACAGTCCGTTTCTTTACAAAATGCGTTTTGCGAGAATAGAAGAGAACCAAATACTAAGTGCCTGTTGACAACTCTTAGTGTGATACAACGTATAACTTTTAATCTTACTCGTTTAATTGATAATAAAATCTATTATGCGAATACTACTATTTCAGTCTTGATGTACAAATTAGACTGCATCTTCCCCATGCACTGTTATTGTCATAATTACTCTTCATATTAAACAGCGTTGCCCGGTAAAAAAATCGCGTAGCGTGGGCGCTGGTAAAGAAAGGGGGAACCGACAAAAACGCTTTTGAAGTTGTAACACCTACTTCAAGTGCTAAAAACGATAATGTTTCTATGTTCCATGTAGCCAAAACTATTCTTAGAGAAAAATATTTACCTTATTTATTATGTTCTCAAATTAATTTGCAATTATGTCTTTCTTTTGTTACACTACGTTTTGCTGGAAACAAAAAAGCCCGAACGCGCAATTTAACTTCCCAGCAAAAGGTAGTATAGCGCTACGCGACGTTTTGCTGGGCAACCGACGATAATATTAAGCAAATAATTACCGTTAGTGAAGGTGATAGTTTGAGAAAATATCCCAAAACTTTGCATTACCTTTAAGTTTTTGATGTTGACGCCGCAGCCGTCGCTACACCACCGCCGTCACCGGAAAAAACGGCGTCTTTGTCTCACTTTTGCAATGCAGGCGAGACAAAAACAGATCGTTTTCATTGAACATTTAATACATGAACATACAGTGTTTAATACATCGAGATGAATGAATTAACAAACCAAAACTTCTTTATAATATGGAAGGCTGAAAATAGAAAAAAAAAAAACACTATAGTTACGATGTAACAATGAAAACTGAAATCGGATTGTGCGACGCAGAAATTAACAACAAATTATATCATTTCTAATTCAGTTCACTTATGTAGAAGAAAGGCATTACTCTTACAGTTCTAGAGCCGACAGTGGTTTCTATCTTAAAAGAATATGTCTTTTTCTTTGATACTTTTAAGGTGTTGAGATTTTCTGAAATAATGAATAATGAGAAATGAGTGTCTCCAGTCGTGGCCACGATATAGAGAGTGGAACCATGGATGCTAAAGCTGACGATTATCATAAATCCATGTCTACCGCCCTCAAATGAGATTTCAAACCTCTCCGAGTTGTCCGAGTGCGAATACTCAATTGATTGGTTAACACTGTTCAACCAGTAAAGACGACGCTCTGTATTTACACAACAACAACAACAAAAGAAAGAAAGAAAGAAATGAAGAAAGATGTCAGATCTTGTCATCAAAATATGTATCTGAATATTACAGTACAAAGGTCATAATGCTGGCCAATTTGTTAGCCCTTCACAGTTTATTTTGTTGAGTAAATTAATAATCTAGTTAACCAATCACTTACTGCAGAAACAAATACTTAGCCAGACTCAGTTGATTATGGTTTGTAAAACTTTTGTGAATAATTTCACTGTTTAGCCAAAATGAATTATTTTCTGTAACATGAATTCGCATTCTTGAATCGTCAATTTACACTAAATCGTATATTTCTACTTGAAAGGGAAAAATTCTTGCTTATCATTTTAGAGTGTCTTGACTTTGATGAAAATAATGTGACGTGCCATTTTTATCAAAATGTAGGAGTTTAGCTTCAGTGTCTTCAGCATAGATGCTAGACTGAACAATCTTCCTGCTGACGTTGAATCGAATAATCTTGTCCAGTCCTCCAAGATAAACTATTCTGTTTAGGGAATGAAAAGAGAGTTATGAGAAAATGATTTTGTCTTAGGCGTAAAAGAAAAAGATGTGGTATTGCCCTTTGCTACCCAAAAATCTATGGTCGATGGTCGGCTTTTTAATAAAGCTTTTTTTTTCATTCGCTAAAAAAAAAAAAAAGGGATAACAACAATATGTATTTTGTTTGTTAAAATGGAAATCATCAGATTATTTCCAAATTCTCACTCGTCTTCTGCCATGTCTGCCCTAGTTTCAAAATCCTGCTAACGTAAACAAGTAGACCCCGGCCTTTTGTACGTTCACTGCACCAGCTAGAAACCAGCAAATCGGGGCGACGTTCCCGATTTTTAGTCTTTTGGGCGACGGTCCAAGTTTTGAGGGGGGGGGGGGGGGGGGGGGGGTCCGATCGACCGACCCAGGTTCTGGCACCTAAAGGGCAATACAACATCTCTTTTGTATAGACCTTATTTAGCTAGGGTAGCTACTTCCCTCTCATTATGGTAAATATAGACATCAGTTAATGAGTAAATAATTCAAAAGAGGAGGCAAAAACCCGGAAAACGACGCTTGTGTTTACGCTCATTCTTACTCCCTCCCTCTCTCTCTCTCTCTTTGCCCCCTCTC